CTGCAGCATGCCACGCAGCGTCCCCCTCCAGGGGCGACCCGCCCCCTGCTGCGACCGCAGGGCCGGGGAGAGGAGGCGCGGCGCGTTGGCCTCTCGGGGGCGCGGTCCCGCCTCCGACGAGGCGTTGTGCCGGCGGAGCACGCGTCGGGCGGGGCGTACGGCGGGGGCCCACGCCAAGAAACACCCCGCTCGCCTCCAGGGTGCCCCAGGTTTCTTAGGTTTCGATGGTCCTGCGATGGAGCGCGTGACGTTCCCACACCAGACATGGATGGGCGCCCTGGGGTCTCAGGGTTGGGTTTCTCGTGGAAGGGTTTCTTGTGGCCTGGCCTCCACTGCAAAAAGAGAGTGCTCAGGAGGGGAAAGAACACACAGACACAATGAATCGTCCATTCCCAGGAAACTATGAGAAAACATGGACAAAGGGGGGGAAAACGAAAACCCAGAAGGCTTGGAAAGATATGGGGGCTCCTGGGATTCGTGTGTACCTCTTTGAGTGTCCCAGGGCCCCTTGGAAGTGCGCCCCCCGAGAGAGATGGCAACCTGGTTGGGCCCAGGGCCTCCGGAGCCCGCTCCGCAGAGGATCGGATATTCGAAGGAGGAGGAGGAGGAGGTGGAGGAGAAAGGAAAGGCGAGCACTCTCCTCTCTTCGGGTGGAGGGCCACGGGTGACGTCTGGAAAATGCCGGTCCGAGGGGCGTTCGAGGCTGGAGTCTGCAGAGGGAGGATCACGAGGCGGATGGGTTTTCGAGGTGCCAAAGCCGCGCGTTTGCCCGCGCACTCTTCTCTTCGGGCGGAGGGCCAAGGGCGACATCTGGGATGCCGTCTCGATGGGCTTTCGAGGTGCGAGCCTGCAGGAGGAGGATCACGAGACGCATTGATCTTCGAGGTGCAAAGGCCCATCTGGATTTCACCCTGAGCCTTCCACCCTGATCATGTTTCTCTGGGCGGAGGGCCAGGGGCGACATCTGGATTGCCGTTCCGATGGGCTTTAGAGGCTGGAGTCTGCAGAAGGAGGATCACAAGACCCATTGGTTTTCGAGGTGCAAAGAAGCCCATCTGGATTTCACCCTGAGCCCTCCACCCCAGGAGAATGCTCAGGTCTGCAGCCGCCTCGGAAGATCCCGGCCAGAACGCACCCAAAACAGGTCCGGGGATCGGTGCGTTTGCCTTTTGACCCTGACAGCCTCGCGTCGTTTTGAGTCGAGCCTTTCCCTCTACAGGAGGAAGGTTCAAAAGTAGTCAAAAAACATTGTTTGGGTGCGATGTTTCGATAATTCGTGGGCTACTTTTGAATATGTTTGGCAGTTTTTTTATCATTTCGTCCAAAATCCGACTGTAGGGGGACATGCCCGCCCGAAGGCTAGGACGAGGATAGATCCGCTCCAGAGCGTTCCTGAAGGATCGCGCCCGAGGCATCTTCCCGGTTCGCCGGAGCTCGGAGATTCTCGAAAATAATCCTCACCTGATGTTATCCTCGTCCTGCCTTCGTCGTAATGTTTGAGTAGGAGATCGACTACAGAATTGATTTACCCCAACATTGACACGTCGAATCTTCAACAAACTTACGTATAATATTCGTAGATGCGCGAAAGCTCCACAGCCCTCCCGTGGATTCGCGTAGGAGAATCAATTCTGGGGTAGATCAATTCTGTAGCCGATCCCCTACTCGAAATGTGCTCCGCCCAATCTTTCCGTGGATTCAGCGAGGAGAATCGATTTTGGGGTAGATCAATTCTGAAGTCGATCCCCTGCTCGAAATGTGTTCCGCCCCATCTTCCCGTGGATTCAAGGAGGAGAACCGATGCTGGGGTAGATCAATTCTGTAGCCGATCCCCTGCTCGAAATGTGCCAATCTTTCCGTGGATTCGACGAGGAGCATCGATGCTGGGGTAGATCCATCCTGTGGCCGATCCCCCGCTCGAGATGTGCCCCGCCCTCCCCCCGGGGTGCGAGAGCGCGGGCTGCTCCCAGCAGGGCTGCACGGCCGCCAGAGCGGGGGCGACGGCTTGCCCCGTCGCTCGCGGCGTTCGCCGCGCCCCGCTCCGCGGCGGCGAGCCCAGGGTCAAGTCGGGCACGTCCACCTGCAGGAGGAGTACCCAAATATATTCAAACATGGTCCGGGGACGGTGTTGTATTTTTTTTTGGGGGGGGGGGGCTGTTTGGGTGCATGCTTAAACACATGTTTTATGTTTCGCCCCAGATCCGCCTGTAGGCGGACATGCCCGACCTAAGCCTAGAGGGGGGTTGCAGAGGGGGCGGGCCTCCTCAGAAGGCTCGGAAAGCCGCGGGTCTTCTGAGAAGTGTTCTAAGCCGTCTCCGAAGACAGAGGCGGCTTCTCAGAAGGCCCGAGGGCTTCCGAGATGCCCGGCACCTTTTCTGAGAAGGTTTGCCCCCTCTCACTTCTCCCCCATCGCGCCACGTCCCACTCCCGCCCGTCGACATCAGTTTCCATCAAAATGTTGTGTTGCTCTCGATGGGTCGGAGGGAACGTGCCGCCTATGAGTTGCTGTCAGGGCTTCGGGCAAGGGAGTGGGAGCATGCAGCAACGAAGACTAAGGATAAGGTGCAGAGAACGATGGATCATTGGGGCCATGGAGGACCATCAGGAAGATAGCGAGGATGAGGACGAGGAGGGAGAAGGGTAACATGAGAAAGGCGAGAGGAGGAGGGAGGAGATGAAAATAATGAGACCAGGATCATGATGGCCACCACCATGCTCTACGTGATCATTCAGATACCAGCCACGCTGGAGGAGCACTACGTGAGCAACAAGCACGCCGTGAAGCAGGCCGGCGCAGAGAGCGTGTGGGCCCTCATTGGCTTGGTGAGCTCGGTGTGTGCTTTCGCGGGCTACATCTTCTACTGCTATCCGAGGAGCTGAAGCGATCCCGCCGATCCTCGGTGTCAGAGTCTAGGCCTCCTAGAGGGATCGGAGTAAATGGGGTCGGAGGGTCGCGCTTCATCGCCGATGCATCGCCGATGCGGCTCGATGTGGAGCCCGATTTTCTCCGCGCTGGCGTCACCGATGTATCGCCGATGTCGCCGATGCATCGCCGATGCGGCGCGATCCTCCGACCCCATCTACTCCGACCACATCCAGGAGGCCTCTATAGAGGCCCTAACTCTGTCGCGGGCTCGGCGATCGCTCAAGACGGTGAGGCTGGATAGGGACGCGAAAGAGCAGCATAGCACCATAATAGGGGCGAAGGAATGAGGGTGGCTCAAAGGCCCTCACTGGTCCGTCAGGCTTCGCGGGTTCATGCTCGCTACAGCGATTTCGTGATGGCTCTGATTGATGTGCAGGGAGCTTGAATGCGTGGCCTCCTGCGGGAAGTATACCTCGGATTAAAGGCCTTCGACTTCATGGTGAAGTTTTTGAAGCTTATGGTCGATAAGGGCGCCAGGGAGCAGGTAAAATGAATCCACTGGGTACACGTATTTCTTTCTCGTCACATCTTCTTCCTCAATCTCCACATCCAGCCCTCGCCATACTCCCACTTACACTGCATGTTCGTGGGACCTTGTCTGTCTGTTCTGTGACTGCCTGTATGCCTTAATGCCTGGCGCGGGTTCGACTCCGGTTCGACGGGAATTCGAAACGGATTCGGCACGGGTTCGACGCGTTCGACATGTATTCAACGCTGATTCGACACGGATAGCTTGTGCGACGGGGCAGACGAGGTCCCCAAAAGATGCAAGATAATTCCTTCTGCTTTCATTCCCTCCTCGGAAACTGGAACATATACATTACCAGTGGCGGGCTGTTTTTTTCAATCCAAGGACTGTTTGAGGGTCGGGGACGACGCTGGGGTGGTGTGGTGTACACTTTTTTCCCCGATGTCCCGGGAAAACCACGAAAAATGTATACACCAGGGTCCCGTATACACCAGGATCCGCGTTTCTGTGCGAATTTCAGCGCAGGGACGGGCAAAGCGTCGCTGTATAGAGTTCGTTTCCCTACCTCCCTTCTTCCTCCCCCCCCCCCTCCCTCCCCATCCCTTCTCTCCCCCTCAGCAGCAGCAGCTCCAGCACAGCCCTCCCCCAGGGGGCTCCAGCTCGACTGGAGGGCCCGCGCGCTCTCCAGGGGGCAAGAATCGCTGCCGCAGGAGAAGGTTCCTCCTCCTCCTCCTCCTCCTCCTCCTCCTCCTCCTCCTCCTCCCCCTCCTCCTCCTCCTGACTCCCCGTAACGTCTCCATCATCATCACTCCGCTTCACACCTTCTCCCCTTCACTCCTCTTCCCCTCCCTCCTCTTCCCTTCCCTCTCCCCGTCTCCCTCATCCTCTCCTTTTCCCTTACCGCTCCCCTCCTCTCTCATCTTCCTTTGCCTTCTCCCCGCCTCGCCCCTCTTCCCTCACCCTCTCTCCTCCTCGCCCTTCACCGTCGTCCGGGGCGGAGTGGGTGGACGGAATCGGCCCCCCCCTCTCACGCGCTGGGCTTCGCCTGGGGTGGTGCGGCCAAGCTCCCGCGCCACCCAGTTCAGCCGTGCTGCCCGACGGGCTATCACGAGTGTGGGAAGTTATACTCTCGTCAGTTGGAAATTCACGCCGTGGCACTGCTCGGACATATGTGGATGTTTTCTCGGCGAGGACTCTCGAGGAGCATCCTGGATCATCGAGCAAACAAAAACATACGAAAACGAAAAATGCACGGGGAATGAACGTCCGAGCGATGGCACGACGCCCCGTCACACCTTTTGCGAGGGGTGTTGGCAGATAAGCAGTCGAAAGTCGACAAGGAGGTCGAGCAGATCCACAAGATGATCAAGGACGGGCAGCGGGGGAGTCCTCCAATCGTCTGCCGCCCACGTCGCATGCATCGTGCACGTACGCACCTCATCCCCACATAGTTGCCAGCGACTCTTGCTTGGATCCGGAGGAGGAGGAGGAGGAGGAGGTTCAGAACGCCACAGTCGTAGGACTCATGTCTGGTCGATGCAAAAACAAGAGGAGGAGGAGCAGGAGCAGGAGCAGGAGCAGGAGGGGGAGGAGGAAGGGGAGGAG